TCCCCCCCACTCGCCCTCCTCCGGACAGCCCCCGTTGCATGCTCCATCCGCCAGCATGTCCGACGAAGTGGCTCACATTCACATTTTCGACCCTCAGGGCGAAGAGTGGCCCTCACCTCTTCAAATCGGCCTGCTGACAGTTGTATGCCTGTCAATCGCCTCGGTGGTGATCGGCGTGGCCTCTTACATTGTTGTGAGTGGCATTCGCCAGCGGCGCCTCCAGGCGGCCAAGGAGCTGGCCGAGAAGGAGGCCTACGACCGGCGTATGGCCAACTGGTCGAACCCCGGCGACCCGCCGAAGCCCCTGCCCCCGACCTCCTGCCTGTATGGGGTATTCGACATGGAGGCCCAGCGCCCGGTGGTGGAGGCCAGTGCCGCGCGGGCGGCCGTCGCTCTGACCATCGGCCAAGGCCCCGGCATGGGGTCCGACACCGCGTCGGCTCCAGGCTCCGGTCAGCATCGGCACCTGGCCGCCCGGCCATCCATCGAAGCCGGCGCCGGGTGGAACTCCCCGCCGATGGCGGCCGCCGCCAGCATGAGCAAGGACCCTGTCGGGGGGCCCCCCTCGCCGAGCGGCTCGCTCCACGCTTCGGAGCCGGACTACAGCCAGACGGCCGCCCGGCTGCTGAGCAGTGGCGACTCCTCGGCCGCGGAGTACGGCGGCCCGGCGGCCGGGAACCCGGCCTCCTACACCCCGCCCTCGTACTTGGCCCCGCCGGCTTTCAGCGACGCGCTGCTGGAAGGCGAGCTGCTCGAGGCCGGTCCCAGCACCCACGATCTGGCCTATGGCCACCCGGAATCGTCGACCATCTACTTTGACGTGGCCTCCGGCCAGTCGGAAATCTCACTCGGTGGCAGCCGGCTACTGGCCCCCTGAAGAGAGTCGCCCTCGGCCCGCGGACGCTTCACCAGCCCGGTACACACCCGACCACCTTGCCAATGTACACCACGAAAATGGGAAAAGAAGGGAAAGAGTCCCCCATGTGCCCTGGCCTCGGGTCGGTGCTTCAGCCAGGGCGTGGCGGGTGGCCCGCCGATGCCGCACCCTGCCCTTCGGGCGGGAGTCTTCCTGGTGCATGTGCATGGGTGCTTGTGCATAGTCCTGCTCAGACATCCCCTTGAGGAGGGCCCAGGGGGAGGAGGGGCGAGAGAGAGAGAGAGAGAGGCAGATGGAGAAAGGGGGAAAAGTCTATATTTTGGGAGAAGAGCAAAGCGAGGCCGCCAGGGGAGACGCGTCCCAGCCATGTGGGAGCTACTTGGCCGCCACGCGGGCCGGCCGCGCGGGGGCTCCCAGCGGCGAGGAAGTCACCCGGAGGATGATCGCAACAACGGCATCGGCGATGACATCCGCCAGGGCCCCGTTCCCGGTGGACCCGGCACCCGTCCAGCTGAGCTCCACACTTCCGAAGGCCAGATCCGGATCGGCAAGCAGGGCCTTCGAATCGTCGGCCGGAGGCGGGACATATGACAGCCGGACGGTTTCCATCACCTGCGAGTGCGATGGCGCATAGGGGCATGTGCGCGGCCAAGCCCACCACCCGACCGGAGGAGGGCATGATGGGAAGAGGAGAGGGAGGCATGAGGAAAAAAAAAAGGCCCAGCGTGAGTGTGAGCAAGAAAAGGGCGCGCAGAGCGCGAAAGGGAAGCCCCCCCCCACCCCCGCGGAATGTGCCAGGGCCCCGGCCCCGGCAAACCGGCCCAGGTGGATGGCCACATGCGCACCTCGAAATCCACCGAGTCCGGCAGTCGACGCATGTCCACCCCGCGATCGGCCGGGTCGACCAGAGGCCGAACCGAGTAGATGGCCGCCAGGGCTCGGACCACCCGGCGCCAGATCCGGCCACTTGCCGGCGGCTCGGCCCCCGGTTTGGACGGCGCCCCGAAGGAAGGGGGCCGGGTGCCAGCCGGCGGGGCCAGGGGCACGGTCAGCGACTGGGCCACCGCGCCGCCGATGTGCACCACGTGCGAGGTGAAGGCCTCCACGTCCTCCGGTGCCAGGAGGTGGGCCTGGTAGTTGCGCCGGACCAGGACCCCCTCCACCAGGACATTGTCGGCGTCGGGGCCGGCACGGGCCGAGGCGGTGCCGGGATCCCGGCCTTCGACCTCGCCATCGGGGCCCAGCTGCACGGCCACCCGGTCGGCCAGCTTGCCAACCACCGTGGCCACTTGGGGCATCTGCACCCGCAGCGAAACTGCCTCCGTATTTTCCGGCGTGTGAATGACCATGTCCGGGCGCATGGGCCCGACGCCGGCCACCGAGAGGCTGCCCTCGGCCATGGCATGGAGCTGTGACGCAAGGCGGTCCATTTGACCCCGCTCGCCGTGCACCAGGACCAAATGCGCCGGGGCCACCTGGGCAATGTACCCGGCGTTTTGGGTGAAGTCCACGTGTGCCGAGAAGGAGATCGACCGGACGTCCATCTTCAGGGGCTTCTGCCGGCCATCGAGGGTGGTGATGTCCGACCGGGACTTGAGGATGTGCTGAGGGCCGGGTGACCGGTGCGAGCACGCCCCACAGCCCGGCCCCACCCGGTGGAGAGGGAATCCGGCCGAGGGGGCCCCAATGCACGTCCGATGGGGTCAGGGCAAAGACAGCGAACAGGCCCCGCGGCAACGGGCAAAGGTGTGGCAGCAGCGATGAAGCGATCGGGGGAGGGGGGCGAAAAAAAAAACAAACAACAAACAACCCCTGGCCCCAGCCAGGGGGGTTGCCCGTGTCGCACCTTGGCCAGAGTTCCCTCCACGCAGTAGCCCGCGATGATGACCATGTTCCGCTCGTCATCGCACCAGGCGTCGAAAAGCTGCCGCGAGAGGCCGCTCTGGAGCATGCCCGGGCTGGCCACCACCACGCATGGCAGGCCGCCATCACGGCCGTCCAGCAGCTCGGCCGCTCGGTTGGTCAGCGAGGTAATGTGCCGGAAGACAAAGGGATTCCGACGCTCGACATTCATGGCCCGGCGAACGCGGTCGTTCATGGAGTTCGTCCAACGCCGGTACTCCCGGAGGCACATTTCCGCCAGCTCCGAGGCATAGTACACCGGCACATGGCGAAGCTCCGGATGCGAGGCCCAGTACTCTTCCAGGATGAGGAGAAGCTCCTGCGCACGGCCGCTGGCGAAGACCGGCAGCAAAACCCGGCCGCCTCGGTCCAGCACCGTGGTCCGGATGGCCGCGGTGAGGAGCTGCTCGCGCTCGGCGCGCGGCATGTGGTCCTGCTTGCCGTAGGTGCTTTCGCAAATGAGGACATCCACCCCGGGGGCGGCTCCATCGCCGGGGTTGCCTACCAGGGCCGGGAGCTCGGCCGCCGGCAGGTGGCGGTCCTCCTCGCGCGAGTAGTCACCCGTGTAGACCACCCGCACGCCGCCCGGGAACTCCAACGAGAAAACCGCCCCGCCAAGGACGTGCCCGGCGTAGGCCGCACTGAAACGCACCCCGGCCACGGTGACCGATTGGTGGAAGTTCACCTCACGCGCGCGGTGGAAGCACCGGATCATGTCAGTCTCATTGAAGGGAAGCAGGTGCGAGGAGGATGACTCATCAGCATCATTGATGAGGCTCCCGCTGTGTGCGTGTGTGCGTGTGCGTGTGCGTGTGCGTGTGTGTGTGTGTGTGTATATGGGAGAGAGAGGGAGGGGGGGGGGGAAAGAGAGGGACAGACGGGCGAGTGGAGGGTGGGTCAGCAGGCGCTCGGGGTTGATGGGCAGGGCGAGAGGGGCGACCAGCCGTGCGCACCTGACACGCAGGTAATCCTTGATGAGTAGATGCCCGATGGCTTTGGTAGCATGAGTCATGTATACCGGGGCCTTGAAGCCCTTGGTCTGGACAGGTGGGCGCCGCCGGCCAAGTTGGAATGCGTGCAAACGTGTGCAGATGTGAGCATGCGCGCGTGGGTGTCGCGATCGCCGGGGAGGGGGGAGAAGAGTTCAGCCCCGCCGACTAGGTGTGGATATGTGCGCATGCGTGTGTGTGCGCGTGTGCGTGCGCGTGTGCGCATGCATGGGGCAATGGCCGATTGGGAGCTTGCCGCCTGCGTACCCGCTCGGTGAGATACGGCAGAGCGCCGATGTGGTCCAGGTGGAAGTGCGACACCAAGACCAGGTCAATCTTAGCCGGATTAATGTGGTCCAGATAGGGGAGACTCGCGGGGCCCTGGCGCCCAGGGTGGATACCACAATCCAGCAGAACCGAGCAGCCACGGAATTCCACCAGCACACAGGACCGGCCGACTTCGCGTCCCGCTCCGAGAGGGGTCTACATGGATGATGGCCGACCGGGGGGTATGGTGATAGAGGTGGTCAGGCAAGGGGCGACTCATGAGCAGGGGGGGGGGGGGGGGGAGCCGAGACGGGGAGGCGGGCCAGGGCGTACGATCTTCAGGATGTCATCACCGAAGCTGAGGGCCGCCGGGGCCGAGCCATCAAGGGTCTCCCCGGGGCCGGTCGGCGCGCTCGGGTCCACCACCGAGATCCGGTGCCGGAGGAGGTGAGCCTGCTGGTTCTGGGCGTCGGAAGGGGCCGGGTCGCCTGGGTGCGGCCCGGCGCCGCCGGCCACAAGAGTGTCCTGCATATTCCGGTGGAGAGGGGGAGGGGGGGAAGAAAAGAGGCGGG